AATAGTCAAGTTAAAAATAAGAGTCATTTTATTAAAAAATATAGAAAATAAGATTTTATATATTTTTTAAATATTTGTGTAAAAATTTAAAAATAAATGTTATTGAAAAAAATAAGAATGATAAAATAATGTATTAAACTAAAATAGTAATCTTATATAAATATTTAATGATATTAAAAGTTACACAAACATATAAAATAATCTCATAGAATATATTCTATTAATATCTAAATAATTCAGTATAGAAAAGAGAGAGATAATATAATTGTAACGAAGAAATTTAAACTTTAAAAATGAATAATGAAATATTATATATTTTTTAAATAACAATTAAATTTATATAAAATGAAAAAAATTTATTCAAAATAATATTTTTCAGTTTATCTTATTTTGCAAAAATTTAAAGTTGAGATAATCTTTTAAAGATGCTTTTATTCTTATTGCTTTTGCATATCTGATTTTTTTAATATTATTATATTTATATTTTCCTTTATTTTTTGTCATTCAAACGTAAAACTAAAAAAAATAAACATAATTTAATAAAAAAATATTTTTTTATTTATTATTAAAACATTAAAAAATAAAAAATAGTAATTTTTTTATAAATTTATATAGTATTAATATTAATTTAAAATCAAAAAGTATATAAAATAATTTATGTATTTGTATTTTTTTATTTAAAAAGTTTTTAGTTTAGACAAATTTAAAATTAGTAAGTATATTTTATTTTATCAAGTCTCTAATTTTTTTTGGTCAAACTATTTCTTTTTTTATCTAATTTTTAGGCTCTGGTTTTTATTATTTTTTAAAAAAAATAAAATTCTATCATAATTTTTATGTATGATTTTTTTATATTATAATATACTTAAAGAATTTTTAGTATTTTAATTTCTATTTAATTTTTTTTAAAAATGTATTTGTTTTAATATATATATATATATATATGTAAAAATTTTACACATATTTAATATTTAGTATATATTTTGCCAAATAATTATATAGGAAATTTAACTAAACCAAAATATCATAAAGATATAATGGATAACTATTATAACCTTATTTTTACTTTTTAAATAAATATTTAATTTTTTCTCAACTAATTTATTATAAGAAAAAGCATTTTTAAATTTATTTATAAAGATATATATTTTTGATAATAAAAAAACACAAATAATTAGAATTTTTATTTTATGGGTTGATTAATATTTAATTTTAATTTATTTAAATATTTATTATTACTTTATTGTAATTATTATTTTACAAATTTTATTTATATAAAAAAAAAGTTGAATAATATAAGCCTTTATATATTTATAATAATTATATTATTAAAACAATATAATTTTTAATTTATTTAAAATTGTGAATTATGTTATAATCATATCTATATTTATTTTAGTTCGACTTATTTATGAAGATTATGACTTTTAAAAATATGAAAATTAAATTGATATATTTCTAAAAATTTTAAAAAAAAATGAAGTTTTTTTAAATTAATATAAAAAAATATTAAATAAGTTCTTAAAAATTAATAAAATATGTTTTATTAAGATCAAATTAAATTAATTTTTATCACATAATTCAATATAATATTATATAGATATTTTATTAATAAAACATAAATAATTTGTATATTAAAAAAATAAAATAAAATAAACCAACATTTTAAATAATTTTTATATAGAATTTTTTATGACTGATTTAATATAATAAAAATAAGATTATTTATATGAGCAAATAATTAATGAGGGGCATGATGGTGAAGAGTTTATGAAATTTATGATTGAATATTGCCCAGGTAAATAATATAAAAATATTAATAAATATTATTAAAATAAAATTTATTTTAAATGCTTTAAAATAATTGTTTATAGAAATTGGTGCTGATATAAACAAATGGGATTTCTAAGAATTACAAAATGTAATAAATATAAATAATTCAATTTTAAAAATATTAATTTTATTTTTAAAATTAATATATAGGTTGTTAAAAAATTTAAATAAAATTATTTGATAGCATAATAAGATAATCATATACATGATACTTAGTTTGATGACAATTATTATTAATAATAATTATATACAGAAGATGAAAAATAATAATAAATTTAAAAAGCTAATATTTAAAGAAAAGTTATACAATAATCGGATAATTTGTAAAAATAGGATAACACATAATAAATTAATGAAGAAAGTAAATAAAAAAACAATAATATAAACTAGAATGAAAAATTTGATAATTTATAAAAAATAGATTAAGAAGATTAATTAGAAAATCAAAATGAAAATAATAATAAAAATTAAAATTATTCTAACAACAAAAATGATAGCTAAATAAAATAAGAAAATAAATAAAATACGCAAAACAAAGAAGAAGAAATAGATTTATTTAGTAATTTTTAATAGTCTATGAATCAAAATATTAAATAATAATAAATGTAATAATAATAATAATAGTAATATAATAATAATAATAATAATAATAATAATAATATTAATAATTAAACAATTAAAATAATTTTTAAGATGAAAATCAATTTAATCAGTTTTTTGCCAAAGAAATAGATTTTAATAATTAAAAAAATAATTCATAAGATTAATAATATTTAGATTAATTATAATAATAAAATATAATACTTTTACCAAATAAATAAAATATACAATAAAAAAAAATTGAAAACGGATAATAACATGAATAAAACTAAGAAGCATAAAAATAAAATTAAGAGGAATAAAAATAAAATTAAGAGGCATAAAAATAAAATTAAGAGATATAAAAATAAAATATATAATTATCATATAAAGAAAGTCCTATATAAAAAGAATAAAAAATATCAAATAATTAAACTATTTTGCAATTTATACATGAAAAACCTTGCAAATTAAGTGTTTTAACAGTTGTAGGTTCTAAAAAGGATATAATTGTTAAAATTTAAAGTTGCTAAGTAATTTCAGGGTCTCTTCTAAAATAAAATTATGCAATTTATAATGTTTCCACTTAACCATTTGGTTGGAATGTAAATAGACACAATAGTGATTTTTTATGGTTGAAAAATATTCTGGAAAAAATGTATCCTGGAATTCCTTTACCTCCGTTTCCTGAGAAAACAATAAAATCTATAGAAGTAAAAATAGCTAATAGAAGAAAAATATATTTTTAGTTTTTCTTAGAATAAATTTTAAATAATTAATAATTGAAAGCATCTAAATATTTGACTGATTTTTTATCTATTCCTGAAGAAAAAATTCTTAAATAAAGATAAAAAGAAACTGAAAAGTTTCATCAACCCAAAAATTTAAATGAAATTGATACAATAACTGGAAAGGTAATTTATTTTTTTATTTTATTTTTCTGTTTTTAATTTTTAAATAAAATACTATTCTTTGATTTAGTATTTTATTGATAAGAATCCTGAATGCTAAGGACAATCTTAAATAATTGAATCATATCTGCATTAAAATGATTTAATTTACGATAAATTAAAATTATAATGTAAATAATTGTAGAACGGATATAATTAAGTTAAACAGGCACTTTTTTAAATTTCAGATGCTTTTTCATAATTAAAAGATAATATTTAAACTTTCAATTAAAAAGTCATCAAAGAATATAAAGCTTAAGATTTAGAAGAAGTTTATAAAATTATGAATAATATTTATTTTAAATAGGCAAGCTAAGTTTAAGAATAATAAAATCTTTTAGATGAAAAATTTTATAATTTTTTTAAATTTCATAAAGAATGTTTGAGTGGTATAAAAAATGTTTTAAGAATAAAAAATGAAATGAATTAAGCGCTAACTAAAAAATTAGGTTATTTTTTTATATATTTATTTTATAATTATAAAAGATAATGGAGGTGGATAAGGAATGTTTAATAATATTTTTGGAAAAAGTAAAGAAGCTGTTTAATATCCATCTAAAGTAAAGTTTTATTATTTTATTTTTAGTATATCTTCATAATAAACGATTAGATTTTAAAAGATTTAGAAGATTAAACAGGCTACTATAATTATTAAATAAATAATGAATTTAATACATTAATTAAATATAAATGTCTATCATATTGTCAGTATTTCTCAGATTATTTAAATTAAATAAGATTCATTTAAAACTAAGTAATTTATATTTTTTATTCAATAAATATACATATTTTTTCAAAAAAAAAAAAATAGTTTTTAAATCAATAAGATCATATAATTTTTGATTTTAATTCCATATAAACAGGAAATGGAGTTACAAGCAATTACGAAATATAAAAAAAAACTAGTTGACTTAAAGTTTACTAAAGTATAAATTTAAATAAAATTATAGTATATAAATTATCTAGATTCTTATTTTAATAAATTCATTAAATTTTATTGCTTAAATTCAATTTTTATATAATGTATATATATTTATTTTGGTTTTTTTTTATTTATTCTATTATTTTTGCTAATTTATTAAATATCGTATTCTCACTATTAAATATTGTACAAATGCTATTTATATTTTAAATTAGGAGTTAATATATTTTTATTTAATTTATATATATATAAGGGTAATAACTATTATATAACACTTTTCCGTATTTTCATATAAAATTTTTAAAAATTAATATTTTTTTTTGAGAAAGTAGTATGAGTTGTTTTTAGAAAAAAAGCAAGGAAGGAAAGCTTAACAAAAGCTAATAATTTTTTTTCATTAATAACTATAATAGAAATGCTCGATTATGAGCTTTTAAATTTATAATTTTATGGAGATTGTAATTTTACTAAGGATTTTTGGAAATAGAAAATTTAAGGAAATGAAGATAAGAAAATATTAATATTATATGTATATGAAATAAGGTATATTTTATTTTATATTTATCATAAAAATATAATATAAAGAAATATTATTTTTTTATGAAATATTTTTAAATAAAAATATTATTTCGACAAATGTCAATATTATATAAAATAAAATTTTTATTAACATATCAAATCTTTGATTGAATAACAAATATTTTTAAAAAATATTTTCAATCTTTTTTCAATTTTTTTTTTTCATTACTACATCCTTCAGAGACCATAAGATATAATAAACCTGCAATAATAGAAACATTCTTTAAAACAGTAGCAACCGCTGTTTAATCCTTAGGATTACTAACTAAAACAGGAGCATTAAATAAGATTGTATTAAAAACAATTCCTAAAATTACTAATAAAGGGATTAATCTATTGCTACTTACCAAAATAAAAACACTTAATCCATATATACCAGATAACACAAATCTAATTTAATCAAAATATTATTAATATTCTTATAAAAAATGCATTTAAGGTACTACTTTTTATAAAATTAATAATTATTAATTAAATTCTTATTTAAAGTTATTTTTATAAATCATTAATCCTCCTTAAATACACAAAGAAAAAATTAAAATAAATTTACCTAAACCTGCTATCATATTTTTTTTGATTATTATATTTCTTTATTATTATTGAAATTGTGTTATCCTTTTTATTAAAATAAATAAATATTTTATAAAAATATTATATATAAAAATATTTAATTAAATTTATATATATTTTTTTTTAATATTAGTTTATACTTTATTCATATATTTTAAAATTATAATTTTTTTTTATAATTTAATCTTTAAAAATATTATTTACTATTAACAAAAATGTAGAAATTTTTTTTATTTATTAGAATATAAACTATTTTAAATTTTTAATTTTGTGATTATTTTGATTTAAATAAAAAGTTTTATATTTTTAAAAAAGAATAACTAAAATACAAAAGTTAAATTGTTTTTTATAAAGTATATTTAATTTTATATATAAATAAATAATTATAATATAATCATTTTTTATGTTTATAAGCATTTGTTATTTTCATAATTCGTTTTATGTAGTTAAAAATAAATTAAAATTACTTTATTTATAAAATGTAAATAAAATTAAAAATAAAAACAAAATCAGAATTATAGTTATAGTTATAAATCAAATAAAATTAATCTTTAATAAAAATAATAAAAGAAAATATTAATTTAAATATATTTTTTTTATTGTATTTTGTATATTTAAAATAAAAATATATTAAAGTTTTTAAAATATAATAAATAATTTATAAATTATTTTAATAATTTAGTATTTAATTAAAATAATTTTATATATTTAAATTTTAATTATCAAGGTTCCTATATATAAAATCACTTAATTTAAAACTAAAAAAACTAAAAAATGTAAAAACTGCAAAGGTGTAATAACATTTTTATTGCGATAAACATTATATTTAAATTAGGTATCTTTATAACAAATTTACTTTTAAAAATATATTTGAAAATAATTATTATTGTAATTAATATTATTTAAATATTGATATATTTATGAATATCTTATAAAATAAAATTATAAATCACTATTTAATTTTCATTATTAATGATAAAAATAAATACATTAAAATGTATTTATATAAAATAAATAATGATGTTATAATGATAAAAGATATTACATAAAAAAAAAAATATTAAAAAACACATAAAATTTGTATAAAAATCATTCATATTAATTTTATTTTTATTTTTATATAAATTCTACATCTTATTACGATAATGTATGTCTAAAATCATTTTACATACACAAAATAGTATCTTTTTTTATATCATTTTATATTATTTTATTAAATCTAGAATTATAATTTTCATTATCATCATCATTCTCATCATCATTAAAAGCATTTATATCTAAATTAAGTAACTAATCTTACATAAATTATAAATCCTGTTATTGATTATTATCATGATATCTAAAATAATAAAATATAGTAGGAGATATTAAGCAAGGAATAATTTAAACAAGTGAATAAAAAAATAAAATAATATTTCCATAAGTATCATTAACTTGGAAGTATTAAGTAGAACAATAAATATTACAAACTATAGTTTATTAAAAAACAAAAGACCTAAAAATATCAATTAAAACTTATAAAAAGATTGTAAAAATGAAAGTATAACCTGTAAAAATTAACTATTTTTTTATAATTTTAAAAATTTTATTTGTCTGTTTTGAACTAGCAAAATTATACTTATAATCTAAATTTTCTTCCTTATCTTGTCTATTAAGTAAACTTTATCTTTATAAAACTGACTAACATTTGTTACTTTCTTAAATGTTCTAAACTTAACAAGGAATACTTTATTTATTATTGTTAATATATGATTACTTATTGTAATGTTTTATCCTTTTTAGTATTTTAGTAATACTATATAAATATATTACTGTAAAAATAAGCATCATTATCATTGGGTACAAATATGGAAAAGAAAACCAATTATTACAATTTATTTTTATAATATTTATTAATAATAGAATTAAAATAATTAACAATATTAAAATCAAAATTAAAAATTAAAAATTAAAATTTTTATTTTTCTTTAGCTATTATCTTATTATTTTATTTTTTCATTTACTGTTTCTATTTTTTATTCAAAATCAGTTTATATAGCATTTATTGCATCTTTTTATCGAAGTTTTATGTTTAAATAGCATGATGTATATGATATTGAAGCAAATGTTATAGATTAGCAATATATGGCTGATATTAAAAATCGTAAATCATAAGAAATAAAATTCAAATAAAATTATATTGCTGATTAAAATAAAGTCGTTATTATTGGTATTATTTCAAATCTAAGCTTTCGTTATCCTATGCTGCTCTTTTTTGGTATATTTATAGCAGCAAATATACAATATATTATTATTAATAATGCTATTAGTGATATTAAAGCACTTCTAATACAGCCTAATGCATCACTTTAGCATTACTCTATTATATCCATTTTCATATTATATTAGATATCTTTTTTAATTATTATTGTTTTTATTTAGTTTTTACTGTTTTTTTATTAAAACTTTATTGATTATTAACTTTTTTATTATTAAAATAATTTATTTTAATTGTTAAGAAAGACTATTTTTATCGATTTTTCATAATGAAATATTAATAAATATATGCTATTATAAATATATAATATAATTTTATCTTTAATAAGAAATATGAATTTATAAAAGAATTTTCAAAGTTAAATAATTCTTTTTATTTTTATTACATAAAATTATTATTATTATAAAAAAATATATTTTATTAAAATGTAAAATATTTCTATTTTTAAAATAAAATGATTAATAATATCATATCAATTATCCAATATATTAAACGTTTTTATGTTTATATTTTAACTCTTCCCAATGAACTAAAATCTAATTTAATATTTATTATAAAATATATTAATATGATAAATACGTATAAATAAAAAATTATATTATATAATAATAATATTAGTTTTTATTAAACCTATCAACAAATCTTATTATTAATTTACCAGTTAAAGACAAACTTTTAACTCTACACCAACTTTCAATAAAAATGATTTTACTATTCCTATAAATAAAAAATATTTTGTTAAATAAAACACAAAAAATCAAAGGAACACAAGTACCAGGGCCATTACATACTTTGGAAATAAATATATATTTGTTTAAAAAAATAGATAATACTTAATATATCGATTTATCGTATTTATAAAATTTTAAAAAAGCAAAAAATAATTGAATATATTGTTGTAAAATTTGAAGAAAAATAAGATTATCCAACTTCTCTACTTCTAGGAATATCAATCCATATTATATTTTTAATTTTAAGTTGATTCTAATTATAAATTATTTTTAATTAGATGTTTAAAATAAAGTAATATTACTTGTTAATAAATTTCATATTTTTTTAAAAACTCAATCAAACAAAAAAAGAAAAAAGAAGGATAATGGCCTTTTTTTATTTGATTGAGTTTTTAAAAAAATATTACAGAAAAAATAAAAAAATCTATAAACAAGTGGATATAAAATTAAATTAAAAAATTAATACATTTTATTCATTACAAAATTATTCAACTCTAATTTTAGAGTCTATATCAGATTTTGCTTTAACAAAGTATATATTTTTGAATAATTTAAAATTAAAGTTTTTTAACAAAAAAAGCATTTCAGTTGTATGACCTCCTGATCCAAATACTACCATAATCCCATTTTTTAAGGGATTTAATTTTTAGCTTTTTTTATATTAGATTATTAAATATAATAAGGCACATGGAAATATTGCGATTAATATAACATTAAACATTATATATAATAATATTCACAAAGTTATATATGATTTATTTTATTATAAATTATATTATTGTAATATTATTTTTATATGTTTTATTAGTATTTGCTTAAATAAAATTATACTAATATTTAAATTGTATTTTAAATAAATTTATTTTATATTTTTAAAATAAATATTAATAATTTATTATTATTTTTTTATATTTTTAAACAAATTAATTAAAATAATAATAATAATTATAAATATTCAAATAAAAATAATATAACACCTGTATTAATAATTATTTTTACATATATTATTTATATGTATGTATTTCAAATATTTATATCTAAAAAATATATATTAAAGTCTTAATATTTGAAATACTTATTTTTATATTTTATACATTTAATTAAATCATTTATTAAATAATTTATAAATTAATATTAATTGTTCATTAATCTGTGATATTAAAAAATCATAAAATATATAATAATTTAAGCATTAAAAAATTAATAAGAATATTTAAAGAAAATACTATACATTACAAAATTTTAAACTAAAAAATAAAATTAAAAATTATATATATATTAAACTTTATAATATTTTAAAATAGTTAATTAAAATAATATTTTAAATAAAAATTTAACAAAAAAATAAATTTGTAATATTTAATTTTTTGTTTTAAATATTATTGTGTTAAATAAATTTTATCTTAAAAAAAAAAATATAAATGTAATAAAACATTCCTTAAAATTCCGATAATTTAAATGAATTTACAAATTATTCATCTTTAATAATATCTTTAGAAAAATTTGATAAGTAAATAAAGTTTAAAATTAATTAAAAAAATATAAAAAAGCTAAGAAAGCATAGTAGAAATTTCAAATAAAAATAATACTGTTATATCTGAAGAATTTTATTCAGATTGTATGACAGAAAATTGTCTATTTAGTAATAGCTAAGGATTTTTTCAAGATAATTTAAAATAAGTAAATAATCAAAAAGCAAATAAGTTCAGACAGAAATTAATTTAATAACAAATCTAATTAAATAAAGATTAACAATAATAAAGAAAATTACAATTGCAAATAATAAAAAAAATTGAATAATCAGACGAAATTTATTACGATTCATCACCATAATCTAACAACATGTTTTTAAGTTTTTTTTTTACTATTAAATATAAAAAAAATACATATAAAGGTTATAATTTTCTCCTATTAAATCACCTTCATCAAGCAAATTATAATAAATAATTTAAAATTAGGAGAAATTCGAAGACAAATACGAAATTTTAAACAAAAGGCCATTAGGTGACGGTACAAGTGGCTGTGTATATTAATGCTTTAAAAAGGAAAACAAAAAAGTATATGCAGTAAAAGTTATACCAAATATTGGAGAAGAAGAAATAAAGAATTTAAAATAGACATTTTCTATTTAATATCGTTTAAACCATAAATACATATCAAAAGCTTTTGAAATATTTTTTAATGAAGATAGTTAAATTGCCCATTTTATAATGGAATATTTAAATTTGATTAATTTATAGAAATTATTAAATAAAAAAAAATCTTTTTCAGAAAAAGAAACAAGAATTATTATCAAAAAATTACTTGAATCTATAATTTATATGGAAAGGAAAGGAATTTGTCATCGAGATTTAAAACCTGATAATATTATGGTTTCTGAAGATTTATAAGAATTCAAAATTATTGACTTTGGAATATCTAAGGTATTTACCATATAATAAAGGTTAACTAATTGTAATCATTATAAAGCTTCAAAAATGTATTCTCCTACAGGTACTCCTAGTTATAAAGCTCCAGAGATGGTGATTGGAGGCGGATATACACATTAAGTTGATATGTGGGCTGTTGGAGTTATAGCTTATTAACTTTTCTCAGGTTAATTACCGTTTTAAGATGTTTAGAAATAATGGCAGCAATTAAATACAGGTTATAATTTAAATTAAGGAATTAAAATTAATTTCGAAAATTAATTGTGGTATGAATGTTCTGATTTTTTTAAAGATTTTATTAAGCATTTACTTCGATACAGAAACAGGTATTATAAAAGAAATATAAAAAAATAAAAATAAAAAGATTAACTGCTATTGAAGCTATATCCCATTTATGGATTTAATCAGAAAATTCTAGTCAATAAATAAGTAAAACATTGGATGATAATAGTAAATAATAAATAGATTTAAGTATTGATAAAATGGTTTTCTCATTTCCTAATATTGATACAAACTTTTCTTAGAAATAAAATAATTAATAATCTTCTAATATGTCAACATTCAAATCTATTAATGATTTTATCCATATAACTTAAAGAGAAAATATATAGAAAACTGTTTAAAGAATAGAGTAATTAAACAACTTAGCAAATCATGAAGTTAGATTAAAAGATGAAAATATAGCATTTTAAATAAGGAAAAAAACTCCTACAGAATGCTAACAAGTACAAAATTAAATTAATAACGAATGTTAAAGTAGTTTTAGAAGAAGATCTCTAAATGTAAATGTTTTGTAGAATACGGAATAAAGTAATAATTTTTATTAAAATATTGTTTATTCTGAATAGAATAATATTGATGAGTTAAAAAAACTATTCAAAATCAATTTAATATAAGAAATTAGTAATCAAGAATAAAATTTTGATAATAAAAACGCAACTAAATAACCAAATATTAATAATTTAATTTAAGATAGTATTAAAAAAGAATGTTATAATATATGAAAATAAAAAGTAATATTTGCATTATATTTAAATATATAAAATATAGAAAAAATTATTTATTTTAAAATTTAAATATATTAAAAACATATTTCCATTGTTTTCAATTATAATTTTTATTTGAGCACTTTAAATATTATTAAAAAAACATATATTCTTTATAATATTTAAATTTAAAATAAATAAAAAACTTTAATTAATATTAATAATAAAAAAAAGATAAATAAATATAAAAATTTTCAATTAAACATTCTTAATTATATTCCACTTGATTACTATTATTACATTTATTATTATTTTAAGGCTTGTTATTAAGCTTATATAATTCTAGAATCAGACTTAAGTAAATTACCAACAACCTATTATAATTTCTAAGGTAGCTCTTTAACAATATTACTTAGACAATTTAACTAAATGCCTTAAATTAAATGCTTAAGCACATGATTAACTAATAAAAGAATTTCTTAAGTATCCGGTTATTAAAATCTTGGATTTATAAATAAAACATTTACTCTAAGCAAATAAACAAAAATATTCTTTTTTATTTCTTCATTAGAAAGTGAATTTATAAGTAAAAGTATTTTTAAAATTTCTGTTATCTTTTAACATGAACTAAATGTTTTTTATTATTATAATTCTTGTTAGAACTATGCCAATATCTAAAAGCTTAAAAATAAGATTGGACCTAATATCTAAATATCAACTCCTTATTAATTTTCGCTTAATTTAGTCCTTATTAATTAAATAAAATGAACCAATTTGTCTTCATTTTTTAAATAAGAATTTAATATATTTTATAATATGTAATTGAATTCTGATTCTTCTTTAGAACTAAAAGCATCATAAAAAGCGAAAAAATGAAGAATTTGCTCTATTTTTTTATCTCTATCTTATATTTCAACTTCTTCTTTTTAAACAAGTTATTGATAAAAAAATTCAATAATTGTATTCGTTAATATTCTATCATTTATCTATGATACTATTTATTTTAAAAAAAATATTGAAAATATTTATTTACAGTTTTAAATGAAATTCTAACGAAAAACTAAAATTTCTTAGTAAGATAAAGAAAATTAAAGTTTTTAAAAAATAAAGTAAAATAAAAATTCGAATTTATTTGAAAGATTTTCAGTAGAAAGTTTAAAAATTTAAGTCAATTAAAAAAATGAATTTTACATAAGATTAAAAAATAAAACATTAGATTTATTATTAGAATATTTTTCAAAACATCTGACAAGAAGAATACGCAGCATGCTTTCGATTTAATTAAGTAGAGTTTAAGAAATGTCTTTTAATTAATTAAGGAGAAGTTCAGAAAGCTAAAGGAAAATTTAATCAAAATCAAAAAGTTAGTAATCAAGGTAACTTTAAATAATAATAAACATTTCTTAGAAAATGTTTTGATCATAAAGTTATATTTCATCAATTTTATTTTAGATAAAAACTTTTAAAATATTCATTATTTAAATTTTGTGATTTATTTTTTTTAATATTGAAATATCAGCCATTTAATTTGATATTTTTCGAAAATACTGTTCTTCTTGATCTACACTTGAATTTGCTGAAAGTTAATATACGAGTACTGAAAAACAAATATTTGTTATTTTGGGTGAATAATTTAAATATTTCTCGTTAGATTTTAATTTATTTAACAATGCTATTTCCTCTTATTAATCTATATTATCATTATTCATGTTTTTTACTACTTCGCTTAATACAAGATAATATTTCACAAAATTTGCAAATAATTAATATAACATCTTTGTATCATATGAACTTTTTTGACCATTATATATCAAATAATAATTTTAATAACTCTTTATTTATTTTCTATTTGCCAATAAAACTACTGAACTGTCTAATAGACATGCTTAAATATTTTAGAATAAATATTATAGTAAAATTGGGGGAAATACGGAAAACAAATTTTGTTATAATTCTTGATTTTGAACTCGATTTTAGATAAAAATGTAAATTTTTGATAGACATTCTATCCTTCTAATTTATATTTCAGTTGTTGATTTTTCACTGTAGAAAGATTAGAATGTTACTATTAAAACATATATATTTTTTTTTAGTTAATATTTTTAATACTTTTTAAATTTGTTAATAATGGTTTAGAGATTAAATTAATTAATTTTCTTATAAATGCGATATCAGAATTTAAAATAATTTTAAAAAATTTAGATAATATTTAAAATGTATAAATATTAACTTAAGGCGTATTTTTATTCTCATTTTTTATATTTTAACTTACTATAGAATCTATTTATGCAGCAAAATCTTTTAAT